GAGTATCCCCACCCCCAGGCTGAGTGGTTTCCTCACACATTCACACCCAGTCCGCTTGGATTTCTATCTGTAGCCAGACGGTGGCAGGACAGCCATTATCTGGAGTGCAGCTTATGCCAACAAGTCAATTGTCCTGAGTGTTTTGAATCATGTTCCAATGTTAGATATTGGCTCATAGTGTAGATCCCTGAGGTCTGAATAGACCCATCAGCATTGCCCTTTGCCCAGGTCTTCACACTGAGGATTAGATTGGCCAATCAGGGCTAAGTATACTGGCCTTTCTTCCTGAGATCTTTGAAGGAGGACAGGGTGGGTAGAGCTGTTTCTTTAGCACCCTCCTGGGGTGAGTCTTTTCTCATAATTAGACTTTGGGGTTAAGAGACTATGGTCTGAGATGTAGGAGTCTCCAGAAGCTCTATATGGCCCTCCTTGCCATTGGATCCTATCATTGCTGGTGGCAGCAGCTTCAACAAGAGAGGTTAAAACAGGACCTCTCACCTTTTCACTGGCTTTGGTTTTCCCAATAAACTGTCTGTGGGAAACTGGCTCAGTGTGTCACTCTCCCCTTTTCCATCTGAGCTCTGTTGTCATCTCACTTCAAGGAAACAGTTTTTTAAATGGGTGTGGTGACACATACTGTAATCTCAGTACTCAGAAGTGAGGACAAAAGGATCAGAAGTTGAAGGTTATCTTCAGCCTCATAATCAGCTTGAGTCTAGACTGCTACATGAGAACCTGTCTCAGAAAACCAAAATGAAAGTTTCTACAGAAAGTGTGCTACTCTCTAGAAGAAGACACTTCTCGGATGACTCAAGTGAGTGAAAATCTACAGCATTTATTAAGGCTTGTAAAAGTCTTTCCTCTCCAACACAGAAACTTTGCATCATGTAGACCTGGAGGCAGCAGACGATGAGCACATTTTCTGTTAAAGCTCAGGCATACCCGTGTCACCTCTGCTCTGGAGCTGCTCCGTACGCAGAGGACCTGAGCAGCACCAACCAGCCCGCTCACAACCCAAGTTCCTTAGGCTAGCAAGATGGCTCACCCAGTGACGGCACCTGCAACAAGACTGAAAGCTGAGCCTGATGCCTGTAGTCCATGTGGTGGGAAGGAACTGATTTTCAGAAACTGTCCTCTCACTGAGCACCCACAGACACACAAATAAGTGTAATAAAGGAACCCAAGATGGGGCCTGGAGTGATAGCTCAGCAGTTAAGAGCGCTGGCTGCTCTTCTAAAGGACCCGAATTCAGTTTCCAGCACAAACATGGCGGGTCACAACCATTCATTATGAGATCTGGTGCCCTCTTCTGGCCTGCAGTCATATGTGCAGGCAGAACACTGTATACATAATAAATAAATCTCTAAGAAAAAGAACCACAAGTCTGAGAGCCATCGAAGTCAGAGGAGATGGCATTCTTCACACACTGCGGTCTAGGTCTTTCCTCACACGTCTTGCTCTTTGAGGCAGCTTTTAAACTGAGTATGCATCGGAAGAGGTGGTCATAGACTTTAACGGCACAGAAGTGTTGGGCTGGCCTTGAACACTAGTGCTCTCTCGGTCCTCTAGCAAAGATGGCAGACACTTACCACTACACCTGTCCCAAAGCAGCTTGCCTTTAACTGACAACACTAAACCTGCTATTGATCTTAGTTCGACACCTGAAACCCATAGGAGAGACCCAACTCCGAAAAGTTGTCCTTTGACCAGACACACAGTGTTGCAGGAACATACATGATCCAAAACATCCTTAAAATAAAAACAACACTTAATGAAAAGTAGCTTACAGGGGGAAAGAGTTATTTGGCTCACACTCCAAGGCGCAGCCCATCACTGAGGAAGTCAAGGCAGGAGCCATGGCGGGACGGCCCTGGCTCGTTACCTGGTTCATGTTTAGCTATTTTCCATAATTGGAGCACCTGCACAGGGAATGGTGTTGCCCAAAGTGAGCTGGGCCCTCCTGCCTTTATTTTCTAGACAATCCCCCACAGTCATGTCCACAAAACAAGCTGATCTAGGCGATTCCTTGACTGAGGTTTTCCTCTCAGATGACTCTAAGCTGTGTGAATTTGAAAACCCTAACTAGGTTAGTCCTTCTCTGTCATTTTACCCCTATGGTGAACCTATATTCCAGGGTTCCAAATCTAAAGAAAAAATTGTTAGTATTTCCAAAGACCCACAGAATATCATTCGAGACATTATCATACAGTCTTGTTATGAATAAATATAAATAGTACTATTAATAGTTACAGTATGGGCTGGAGAGATAGCTCAGAGGTTAAGTGCACAGGCCATTCTCCCAGAGATCCTGAGTTCAATTCCCAGCAACCACATGGTGGCTCACAACCATCTGTAATGAGATCTGGTGCCCTCTTCTGGCATAAAAGCACACATGCAGGCACAATACTATATACATATACATATATATATATATATATATTTAATAAAATTAAAAAAATAGTTACAATACAGTGCACATAAAGTAAAAATAAATAAATAATGTGCCAGGACAAGTTCTAAAGCTACAGAGACACCCTGTCTCAAAAAAAACCAAAAGCCTTTCTCGCTCCCCGGCCATCTTGGCAGCTGGTCTTGATTGGGGCCCGTCCCGCACCTAAGGCAGGAAGATGGTGGCCGCAAAAAAGACGAAAAAGTCTCTGGAGTCGATCAACTCTCGGCTCCAGCTTGTTATGAAAAGTGGGAAGTACGTGCTGGGATACAGACAGACTCTGAAGATGATCAGACAGGGCAAAGCGAAATTGGTGATCCTCGCCAACAACTGCCCCGCCTTGAGGAAATCTGAAATAGAATATTATGCCATGTTGGCTAAAACTGGTGTCCATCACTACAGTGGCATCACTACAGTGTGAGTTGGGCACAGCGTGTAGAAAATACTACAGAGTATGCACACTGGCCATCATTGACCCAGGTGATTCTGACATTATTAGAAGCATGCCAGAACAGACTGGTGAAAAGTAAAAAGTTTTCCTTTAATAAAACTTTACCAGAGCTCCTTTTAAAAAAAATAAAAAAACAATAATAATAGAAATTTAATTCCAGAGGGGAAAAAATAACTATGGTCTCTAGAAGTATTTGTTGTTGGTTTTGATGTTTGGGGATCTTTTTGTTTGGGGGTTTGTTGTTTTAGTGTTTTTTGAGACAGCCTCACTGTAGCCCAGGCTAGCCTGGAATTCACTATGTAGATCAGGCTGGAATGAACTTGAGTTGATCCTCCTGCCTTGAATTCCCAAGTGCTGTAATTAAAAAAACATGACACCATGTCTGGTTTTTATTGTTATTATTTATTTATTTATTAGTTATTTGAGACAGAGTTTCTCTATGTAGGCCTGGCTGTCCTGAAAATCACTATGTAGGCCAGGCTGGCCTCAAACTCAGAGATCAGCCTGCCTCTGCTTCCAGAGGGCTGGGATTAACGGAGTGCACCACCACACCCAGATTTAAATTTTTTTTAGCTAAATTTAAAATTTTTTTTACAAAGATGTTATAAATGACCAATAAAAGACCTTCAAAGCTTAAAAGCATATTGGACTGGGTGTGGTGGTGCACTTGGGGGGCTATCACAATTTCAGGCTAGCCAGGACTAGGGATAAGATTCTAAAACAAGAAAAAGAAAGAAAAGAAAAGAGAAACAGGAAGAAATAAAAGGGCTGGAGACATAGCCCAGTTTCTCTGGATCCCACCTCCAGTAGTCTGGCCAAATGGCCCAGTGGCTAAAGGGCTTGTTGTGTGTCCCTGAAAACTTGAGTTTGATTCCCAGAACCCAATGGAAGGAAAGAACTGATTCCCAAAAGTGGTCCTCTGTATGTCCTCCATCCCCACATCTCTCATACACAAACACACACACACACACACAGTAATTAAAAAAATTTTAATGAGCATAGTGGTACATACTTGTTATCCAGCACTCAACCCTCAGGAAGGAGGTAGAAGCAGGAGGATCAGAAGTTCAGGGTCTTTTTGGTTATGTAGAAAGTTTGAGGCCAGTCTGGGAAACATGAGACCCTGCCTGCCCCCAAAGGAGGAGGAGGAGGAGAGAAAAAGAAGGGAGGATACTGGGGTACAGTTCAGTGGTAGTGTACTTGACTAGGTGATACTGGGGTACAGTTCAGTGGTAGTGTACTTGACTAGGGAGGACACTGGGGTACAGTTCAATGGTAGTGTGTTTGACTAGAATACTGGGGTACAGTTCAGTGATAGCGTGCTTGACTAGGGAGGATACTGGGGTACAGTTCAGTGGTAATGTACTTGACTAGAATACTGGGGTACACTTCAGTGGTAGTGTGCTTGACTAGGGAGGATACTGGGGTACAGTTCAGTGGTAGTGGACTTGACTAGGTGATGCTGGGATAGGAGCAGGAGCCTAGCTAAGCTGCTAGGGTCACCATAACTATGACTACCCCAGTGAATCGACTCCCATGACCTGCCTATGACACCAAACTGTGTACACACCTCACTGCTCTCAGAGCCCAAGAGAAGGACCCACATTTGGGGAAAAGATAAACTCTGCTGGTTTGTGTTAATGCCTTATGATGGCTAATCTTGGTTGTCAACTCGACTACATCTGGAATGAACTAAAACGGAAGCAGTTGGGCACACCTGTGAGGAATTTGTCTTGATTGGTTAATTTGAGGCAAGAAGATTCACCCCAAATCTGAATTTTTGGGGTTAGACGAACCACCGTAAACCTGGTCCACACCTTTTGGTGGCAGCCCACGTTAAAGGACGTGGAAGAAGAAAGCTTTCGCCTTTCGCCGGCTTGCCATCACTCTCCCTGGCAAGTTCATCTATCCTGATGATGCCGAGGCATTCTTTCCCAGGTATCAGAACCTACTTCTCGGGGACTCTCACACAGACCAAAGACCAGCTGAGCCATCCAGCCTCATGGACTGAAAAACTGCCTGTCTGGTAGCCTTTCCGTAAGGAGATAATTATTGTTGACATGAGGCAGACACAGCCTGAAAGCCACTCTAGTAAAACTCCCTCTTCATTCAGATCGATTCCATCTGCTCTGCTCCTCTAGAGAACCCTGCCTAACACTGGCATCCGAGGTTCTCTGTGGAGGAAAACAAGGTAGAGCTGAGATGAAGGTACCTGGGCTTCAGCTGGCCAAAAGAAGACAAGCAGACACGAGCTGACTGTGGACAAGGACAGCTCTGAGAAGCAAGCCTTGCTTGCCCTGAGACATGAACTGGAATGTGGCTGGAACTGAGAACCCAAAGCTAACGGGAAAGGACACAGGCTGTGTCAGGACACACTTCCACACACCCAAGGCCCAGGACCATGCTGACTGTCAGCCCTCCAACTGGCCCACTACTGCCCCCCTTCCCTGTCTGCCAGCTGCCAGCAGGGCTCTGCCCTGTGTCTACCACACCTGTCACTGCCTATCCTTGTCCGAGGGGGATGAGTATTAGCCCCTCCTCAGCCTCCCAGCGGAGCAAGCAGTTAGTGGGGAGGGGAGGGAACATGGACCGGGGACCGATGGTGGGGGCAGGGTCGGGGGCCGGGACCCGAGTCCGAGCACTGCTCGGATGCCTGGTCAAGGCGCTGCTCTGGGTGGCCTCTGCCTTACTGTATTTTGGAAGTGAACAAGCCGCGCGCCTCCTCGGCAGCCCCTGCTTACGGCGCCTCTACCACGCTTGGTTGGCAGCAGTGGTCATCTTTGGGCCCCTTCTGCAGTTTCATGTCAACTCCCGGACGATCTTCGCTAGCCACGGCAACTTCTTCAACATGTGAGTCCACTGGAGTCCACGGGAGCTGGCTCCCTATACTCTCAGATCCCAGCTTCCTTCTTCAGGCCTCTCTGTTCTGTTGCCAGTCGGAACACTAAAAATAGGCTAGGAGGTTGAGAAGGTCGGGGGAGAAAAGGGAGGAGGAGAGGAACAGAGCCTCGGGGTGCAAGGGAAGGAAAGAACTGAAAGGAAATGTGGACCCTAGAATGTCAGTGGTCCTCTAAGGAGCCGGGCAATGTGGAAATGGTGGGGGTTGGAAAGAGAACTAGTGGTGGGGTGTGGAACACAGATCAAGGTAGGGAGATAGGACTGGGGCTCAACTTGCTTTCCCTCTTTCTGTCCACAGAAAGTTTGTGAATTCAGCATGGGGCTGGACATGTACCTTCTTGGGGGGTTTTGTGTTGCTGGTGGTGTTCCTGGCTACACGACGCGTGGCAGTGACGGCCAGGCACCTGAGCCGACTGGTGGTGGGGGCAGCTGTCTGGCGGGGGGCCGGCCGGGCCTTCCTACTCATCGAGGACCTGACCGGTTCCTGCTTCGAGCCTCTGCCCCAGGGCCTACTGCTGCATGAGTTGCCTGACCGCAGGAGCTGCCTGGCAGCCGGCCACCAGTGGCGAGGCTACACTGTCTCCTCCCACACCTTCCTGCTCACCTTCTGCTGCCTCCTCATGGCTGAGGAAGCCGCTGTATTTGCCAAGTACCTGGCCCACGGGCTACCAGCTGGGGCCCCCCTGCGCCTTGTTTTCCTACTCAATGTGCTATTGCTGGGCCTCTGGAACTTCTTGCTGCTCTGCACCGTCATCTACTTCCATCAGTATACCCACAAGGTGGTGGGCGCAGCAGTAGGCACGTTTGCCTGGTACCTTACCTATGGTAGCTGGTACCACCAGCCCTGGTCTCCTGGGATCCCAGGCCATGGGCTTTTCCCCCGAGCCCGCTCAATCCGCAAACATAACTGAAAGAAATAAAAGCATACTAGGCCTGGCTCTGGCTCTTCTTGTTCTTGTCAGGTCTAGAGAGGGTGGGAGGGGTAAGAGAATAATCTGATAGATGCTTGCGTTCCCTCCTCATCATTCCCTGAATGTCGTTGACCTTGAATGTGTTTTCTTGTACTTGACTTTCTTTTGGGTTTCCTAGTCTGCAGACTTCCAGCTTTCTGGACCCGTGATGTCAAGGGATGGTTCTACCGAGGCCAGTAATTGCCCTTAGGTGTGTTTATAACCTTTCCGTTGGCAGATGCTTCATCTCCAACCTGGTTACTTCGTTTTTTTCCTGCCTCCGTCACAGACTCCTGATTTCCTTAGGAGCCTGCCTATCTGGGCAGCTCATGCCAGGACCTTCCCTACCTCTGTCTCATAAGGATGGCACACTCATTCATTTCACAAAGGTGTGTTAAACCAGGCATAGTTCTGTGCCGTGTGAGCAAAACAAACAAGGCTTCTGCTGCTCAGAAGCAGATTAGCTCTGGAAAAAGCAAAAGAGAAACACACAAGTAGCAAACGCTTGATGGTGCTTGTTCACGTCAGGCCCTGTTCTAAGAGTGTATGTATTACTTATATAAATGAATACATTTAGAGGCCAGGGGAATGGTTCGGCGGATGCAGTGCTTGCTGTGCTAGCCTAGGGACCAGAGTTTGGTTATTCAGAGCCCAGGTAATAAGCTGGGCTGGCAGCATGCATCTATCATCCCGGTACAGCAGAGGCAGAAGCAGGAAAATTCCTGGAGGTTGCTAACCAGCTAGTGTAGCTTAGGGGTGAGCTCCGGGTTGGTATGAGAGCCTTTTTTCAATAAGTGAGATGAGGGAGGGGCGAGGAAGACACCATTCACCTCTAGCTTTCATGGATTCATGTGTATGCATGTACTCTCATGTACATACACACACATGGCTTCCATAGATTCATGTGTGTGCATGCACTCTCATGTACACATGCACACAGACAGTTTTAACCCCCACAACATCCCAGTGAGATAAGTTCAGTAGTGTTCCTATTGTGAATTTTTTTAATATGCATAGGTGTTTTTACTGTATGTGTGCGTGTGAACATATCCATGGAGGTCAGAGAAGGCATTGGATCCTCGGGAACTGGAGTTACAGGCAGTTGTGAGCTGCCATGTGTCTGATCAATGAGAACTGATCAGAAGCACTCTGGAAGAGCAGCCAGTTCTCTTAACCACTGAGCCACCTCCCATCATCCACCATTTTTTGTTTGTTTGTTTTTTATTTTTCCAGACAGGGCTTCTCTGTGTAGCCCTGGCTGTCCTGGAACTCGTTCTATAGACCAGGCTGGCCTCCAACTTGGAGGTCCACCTGCCTCTGCTTCCAGAATGCTGGGATTAAAGACCTGTGCCACCACCTCCTGGCTCCAAGCCTGGTTTTTGATCAACATTAAAAAAAATAAATAAAAGTTGAAAAAAATAAAAGTGACGTGTGAAAATTACATGTAACTCAAAATCTCGGGTCCATAAGTTAGGTTTTATTGAAACTCACCCACACTAATTCATTCCATGGGCTGCTTGCCTCTTGCAGTACCAGAGTTGAGCTGCTACAGACATAGTAACACTTCTCAAACCTAACTAGCCATCACCAACCCCTTACAGAAAAAGCTTGTCTGACCCTGTTCAAACCACTATATTATCCCCTCTCAAAAACAAAAATGGCTAATGTCAGAGTCGCGGGTGCTGCGAGGTACTGAAACAGGACGGCTTGTAAGAAACTGGACAGGGAAGGTACTTTCTGAAAGATGACGGTGGGAAATTCTCTCTGAAAAATTGACATCCAAAATGAGTGAGGACATTGAGGGAAGAGTGTTGCAGGTTTCCCAAGGGCTGAGCCCTTGACCTGGAATAAACACTACCTACAAGTATTTGCTTGTGTAATGAGTGAGTGTGGAAAGCAACAGACCGTCAACTGGAAGGGGACAGGTGATTGTGAAAGAAAGGTTTTTGGGTTTTATCATAAAGACCTGACTCCCTGCTGTCGGGGGATGGTTCATAGGGTAATAGAGTGTGCCACAATGGTTTTGTGCGGAAAAGGATAGTGCCAGTGTCTCAGCGTGGTCGTTTGGTGAGCAGGAGTATGCTGGCGAAATCAAGGGACCATTCCGGCAAGGAGAGAAGAGACCAGGTCTTGCTCCAAATCAGAAAAGACTTAAAACCTCCAAGTAAGGCTTATTACTGCCCTGGCCCTAGTAGAAGTAGGGGGCGACCGGAAATGGAAGGCGGGGGTGGGAAGGGGTGGGAAGGGGCAGAGGTGCTGGCGCTGGCAGGCGGGCTCTGGGAGGCGGGCCTGGGCGCCGAGGGGGAGAGCCCCGAGTGCTGGGCGGAAGCGCTTCTCGGGCTGCTGGAGGAGCCCCCGCCCCTCAGGCTGTCCCCGCCTCCTCCAGTCCCTCCACTCCCCAAGCCAAGGAAGACTGTGCAGGTTTCGAGCTCTGCTTTCGCTTTCCCTTCCCGCTGCCCACTCCTGGTTCCTCGTGCGGCACTTAGCCCCCCGCCCGCTCCGACCATGGCCACACTGAGGGTCCATCCTGAAGCCCAAGCCAAGGTAAGTGCTGCGGGTTCGAGTTCGGATGAGAGGCATTAGAGAGGCGTGGCTCGGAGCGGACCAGGGTTCCGGGGATCAGCTCCTAGCCCCCACATCTGAGTCGGGGGTCTGCTCCCTAGCCTGCAGCCAGAAGCACCTGATCCGCTGGGAGTAGGTGAGGCGGCTGTGGTCCAGTGGGGTGAAATGAAGCCGAGAGCAAGTGTGAAGTCTCCTGGCTTGGGGCCCGGACTACACGCAGAGACAGGGAAAGGGACTTGCCCCGGCCACTTCGAGATCTTTGACTCAGTTCAGGAAGGACATACGCCTGCTCCCTGCCTTTGCCCACTGGCTTAGGGTTTTGTTTTGTTCGAGACAGGGTCTCTTTATTATGTAGCCCCGGCTGTCCGAAACTCTTTATGTAGATCAGGCTGGGCTCGATCGAAATCACAGAGACCCACCTGACTTTACCTCTCCAGTGCTGGTGTTAAAGGCGTGCATGGTGTACCACGCCCGGTCAGAGGGCTTTCTTATCTCTCCTTACACAACTCTGGTGACCTAAGGGATGTTCTCCCCAAATCCAGCCCCCATGGGGATCCACTGAACTCTCCCCAGATGAGGTGTGCTGAAAACTACCACACCACCTGAGACCACCCTACACAGGGAGGGACCCATCTCTCTTCAGGAGTGGCCTTAGAGGGATCCACTCCTCTATTCCCAAAAGGGAACTGCCCTCAAATGAAGTGGCCCTAAAGCTAGGTTTCTGAAGGGTTGCCTGTACCCTACAGGTGGATGTGTTCCGCGAAGACCTGTGTAGCAAGGTAAGACCTACAGTCATCAGCAACCCTGTCCAGCTGCTACTGCTGCGCCCTTCCTTGTTGGGCGGTGTGAGCCCTTACTTCACTAGGAAAGGGCATTTGATTATGACCCCATCTTCCTCCACCACCTCATACAGACAGAAAACCTGCTTGGGAGCTATTTTCCCAAGAAGATCGCCGAGCTGGATGCATTCTTAAAGGTACAGGGTCCTGCAGGGACTCAAGAGGGGGCCTGGGATGAGGGTGTGATGAGATGAGAGGAACACCCTCATCTCCAGCTCTACCCTAGGAGCCAGATCTCAATGAAGCCAACCTGAGCAATCTGAAGGCTCCATTGGACATCCCCATACCTGATCCAGTCAAGGAGAAAGAGAAGGAGGAGCGGAAGAAGCAACAGGAGGCAAGCTGGGAGACCTGGGAGGTGGGCCAACCATAGAGAAAACCCGGCCTCAGTCCTGACTTCCTCCCCACAGAAGGAAGAGAAGGATGAGAAGAAGAAAGGGGAAGATGAAGAAAAAGGTACCTGAACCCAGGCAGAGACAGGCTTGTGTCTCCCAACTTCCCGCTTGCCTTCTACACTCCGCTTTCTAGCCCTCAGAAGCTCGATTATTAACTGACCCATTGCACACTCTAGGTCCTCCCTGTGGCCCAGTGAACTGCAATGAGAAGATTGTGGTTCTCCTGCAGCGCCTAAAGCCTGAGATCAAGGATGTCATTGAGCAACTCAATCTGGTGAGTTCTGCTTTCATCCATGCTTCAGCATTGTCCTCTTGGTCCCAGCCAATTAGGACAATGGTACATAGGAGAGGGCAGAGCAAGTGAGCCAGCCTTGGGCTCAGCATGGACCTGGCACTCCTCCATCCACTGTGGGCAGACAAGGGAAGAATAGGAACCTGGGACTTGGGATGTGTATATGGAGGGGAAGGAAGGGAGGTGGTAATAAACCCGATACCTTCCTTTGCACCAAGGTCACTACCTGGCTGCAACTACAGATACCTCGGATAGAGGATGGGAATAACTTTGGAGTGGCTGTCCAGGTAAGAGCACTGCCCCTCAATCCTACACAGCCTTCCCGGGTAGCCCATGCTTCCTTCACACTTCTTTCTTTCCCAGGAGAAGGTGTTTGAGCTGATGACCAGCCTTCACACCAAGCTGGAGGGCTTCCACACTCAAATCTCTAAGTGAGTTGCCTGGCCACCACACCCCCAGCTCACTCTGCCTTTGGGGATAGGTCTGGGCTGCTTCCTTTTGTTCCCTACTCCATGCACACTGCTTCCACTTCCCACAGGTACTTCTCAGAGAGGGGCGACGCAGTGGCCAAAGCAGCCAAACAGCCCCACGTGGTAGGTGAGGCCCAGGTCAGGTTAAGCTGGGGAAGACACATTTCAAGCCGGGCCTAATGCTGGGTTTCTGCAGGGTGATTATCGGCAGCTGGTGCACGAGCTGGACGAGGCAGAGTACCAGGACATCCGGCTGATGGTCATGGAGATCCGTAATGCTTATGTGAGAAGGGGAGAGGAGGGCAGGGGTGGGCAGAAGCACCTGTCTCAGGCCATCCAGTTTCTGACCAAGCAGACTTGGGATGGAGGATGACAAGATCAGCCTTTCCAAAGCTAGAACTAGGTAGGACACAGAGCCACTGGGGGCCGGTGGCTGACCTCCACCACTCCACCATGATCCTATAGGCTGTGTTATACGACATCATCCTGAAGAACTTTGAGAAGCTCAAGAAGCCCCGTGGAGAAACAAAGGGAATGATCTATTGAGCCCCCTCTCTCATTCTGTGATGGGGTACAATAGAGACCTTCCTGCTCTTCACCAGGAATTATAGACTGTACCCAATCTTCTTCCTGCTGGGGTTTCCCCCTTATTCTGCCTCCCAAACACAATAAATATATGGTTGCCCAGCAGCCTATCTCTTTATTGTACTCTGACCCTCTGGTTCAGGCATTTCCACTGGTGGGACCGCTCCACTGGGAGATCTGAGTGTTAAGCTGCTGGTTGGTCCAGTCCTGCCGAATGTCATCAAGATGGCAGTCAAAGTCCACAAGGTGGTGGTGGGCCTGGCCCTCCAGCAGAGCTCCCACCATCTGTCTTGACTCTTCCCAGTCTCTCCACATCACTCTGAAATTAAAGCAAAGCAACCATGGAGGCCAAACAGTGGGGCCAGACCCAGACTTAAAGAATTATGTCTAAAGAAGCCACAGGGCAGGACCAAGGACAAAGGAGGCCTGGGGAGCCTTGGACTTCCAAGAAGCGATGGAGGTAGTGGGGCACTCACAAGTTCTTGTCCTTGGGCACCCATCGAAGACCTTGGTTCTCCAGGACAATGACTGGAGGTACACGAGGCCGAGTCACCAATTTCTTATTATCCAGCTGAGAGGATAAAGGGGTGAGAGTCTCAAGATGCCCTCCCCACTTCCTCTCCACCTCCCCACTGGAAAGCCCAAGTCTCACCATAATAAGCACTGCATCAGGGAAGAATTCTGCAATTCGCCCGGCGATTTTCAAGGCCAGAATCCCGGGGCTGTGTAGGGGGAAGATCAGAGGAGTGAGGAGCCAACTGAGGGCAGACCCAGGTCTCCTCCCAGGTCTCACAGATGCGCACAGCTGTAGCCTTTCCCCCGCAGCTGTCCTGGGAGTGTGGGGCCTGCTTGATGCACGACTGCTTGATGCTTGAACGCTGTGGGAAACGTGCTCAGATTCTGCTGATGAGAGTGGAAATCTAAAGTAGGCTTTGAGGAAGGCAATTTGCCTTAATCATCCAAATTAAAACCAAGAGGGCTGAATCAATGGCTCAGGTTAAGAGTACTAACTACTCTTCCGGAGGACTTAGGTTTGAATCTCAGCATCCACATGGCAGTTTACGACCAGTCCCAGGGGATTCAACGTCCTCTTCTGGCCTCTTGGGGCACTGCATGCATGTGGTATATAAATATAACATGATGTATACAGTAAGGGCAGACCACAAAAATAATTTACTGGGTGGGAAGATAGGGATCAGCAAAAGTGGAGAAGAGGAACTGGGTAGGGTACTAGGGGAAGGACAGTTAATAATAAAAATATGGGGGCTGGAGAGATGGCTCAGGGGTTAAGAGCACTGGTTGCTTTTCCAGAGGACCAGGGTTCCAGTACCCATTTGGCAGCTCACAGTTGTCTGTAATTCCGGTGCCAGGAGATCTGGCACCCCCACACATATATATGCAGGCAAAACACCAATGCACATAAAAATAAAATATGATCTGGGGGTGGCGCACACCTTTAATCCCAGCCCTCAGGAGGCAGAGGCAGGCAAATCTCTGTGAGTTTGAGGCCAGCTTGGTCTACAGGGAGTTCCAGGACGGTGAGGGCTACACAGAGAAACCCTGTCGTGAAAAACAAACAGAAGTATGTATGAAAATGCCACAGTGGAACCATTTGCTTTATATGCTGATACAATAATTTAGGCAGTCCCTAGGAGCCACCATGAAGTTTTGCTGGGTCTACCCAACTCTCTGAGGCCTGAATCAGAAAGGCAAAACTTTTTTTTGTTTCTTTGGATGTTGGCCAGAACCTAAGTGCCTTTTCTGACACTTTGGGCTTCCTTTCTCTACAACTCGGCATCCACTGCTTCTCTGCAACAATTCTGGCCTCCATGCTGGTTTCACACGGGTATGACTTAAAAGCAGTTTGCTTGCTCTGGGTCTTTTCAACTCTAATAAAACTGTTCTTAAGTTTTTAAAATTCTTTTATTAATAACACTAAAAAAACCCAAGAGAGAACCCCGATTTCCTCTGTATCAACTGGCTACCATGACCAAAACAGACCCAGATGACATTGCTTGGTGTTCACGTACAACGATGGGCCTTCAGGGGCTCTCCCACCTTCTTACTGCAAGCATCCAGCTTTGAGAGATTTCACACAGCTCTAACAACTTGTCAGACACCTAAAGATGGGTCAGTGTTGGGCAAGGCCACACCTTGCTCCTGCCTGCCTAGATACGCATACCCTTGTCCCTCTGTTAAAACTTTAATCTCTCTTCGTGACCCAGAAGTCAGACTTGGGAAGAGTAGCAGTGTCTCACTGGGGCTTTGTCCTCTTTCTAGTATGGCCATATTAAATAAATATTTTTTCTTCTTTCCACTAAAAAAACAAAAACAAAACATTATTTTTAGCTGGGCATTGTGGTACACACCTTTAATCCCAGCACTCAGGAGGCAGAGGCAGGTGAATCACTGAGTTTGAGGTCAGCCTGATCTACAGAGTTAGTTCCAAGACAGCCAGAGCTACACAAATATATATACACACACACACACACACACACACACACACATACATATGGTTATTTTTTTTTTAAGATGAGCTAGACCTTGAGATGGAACATCAAAAGTATTAAGTTCGGGGAGGGAAAGCAAATTACAGTAGATCTTAGTCCATATCAAAATCAAATGTATTTTGATTTTGTCTGTAGTCTGTAGTATATATTTATAAAGTGGTGAGCTTTCTTTTCTTTCTTTCTTTTTTTTTTTTTTTTTTCCCCTTCGAGGCAAGGTTTTCTCTGTATCCCTGGCTGTCCTGGATCTCCCTCTGTAAACCAGGCTGGAACTCACAGAGATCTGCCTGTCTCTGCTCCCCAGAGTGCTGGGATTAAAGGCAAGCACCACCACATACCGGTTTAAAAGTGGTGGGCTTTTTAAGTCGCTAGTCGCACTTCCTCAGTTCTTACAGAACCTGGGAAGCACCAGACTGTTATGTCCCACCTCCACTGCAGGAACCTTTGACGGCCATATTCATCTCTGGTATTTTCTTACTCCAGTACTCACTTGATTAAAGAAAAAAATAAAAGGAATGACGCTGGTCTGCCTATCTGCACCTCACCCACACCTGCCACAATCATCTGCCTTCTCGACCCGAGCTACCCAACCTACCTCTGATCGTCCAAAGCTGCATTGGCGTGGTAGTACCCAGCTACTACCAGACCGGCCTGTGCACCCCACACATCCACCTGTCGTGAGAAATGGGCCATCAGTAAATAAATCAATGATTCAGGTTCTGTGGGTGCATACTGAGGACAGAGGGTCGAGCATGCATTTAGGCTGAGGGTCCTAAAGAATGGGGGCTGGGGAGGGCGGTGAGTAGGGATGGGGGCGGGGTTCTCGAGGCCACACCTGATTGAGCGCAACCTCCAGCATGACGGAAAGGGCCAGGTGGCTGTGGAAGAGGGGCACACAGTCGGTGAGGCAGAGGCATTCTCCCGACCGCGGCGCGGGAGCCAGCAACAACCCGTTGACAGCAGCGTATGGGTACCGGGAGGCGTGCAGGCACATCTTCCCGTAGGCCCGGGCGGAAATCTCCACCTCCCCCATAGCGAACCGTGCCTCTCGGCACGCAGAACCCCAACCAGTGTGGCTTCCCAACCACGGCAAGCGAGTTGTGCCTCCACACTTAGGTCTAAGTTGCCTCTAACACCTGCCCTCAACACGATCCAGAATTCGGTCCAGAAACTACCCGAGGAACCGAGCCCCGCCTCCTCTAAACACTCCCGGGCAGGCGCACTTGCTCGCAGGCCTGCTCCGGATCGTCCTCATATAAGCTCCGCCTCCATAGTGCTCTCTGATAGGACAAGACGTTCTAAATTCGTCCAATCAAGAATTTTAAAATTTGTCTTGGCTTGCCTTGGCCTAAAGCGAACTGAAAAGAACGCATCAGGCAAAAGCTTATTAGCTAAACTACCCGGTTTATACTTTGGATTTTGTTTTGTTCTAAGGAGGGAAGACAAAGTCTCGGCCTAGGCCGACCTCAAACTTACGGTTGCTTCTGCCTCCATATCTCAAGTGAAAACCCTAGGTTTACAGACCCCGCCATCACACCCTGTTCCAATTTGTGTGGGTTATTGCAGGTTGGTTTAGCCGGTTTACCAGCTCTTTCTGAACCTTAAGGCTTTGGGCAGACAGCTAGGTTGGAGGGCTGGCCCCTAGCTGGGTGTTCTGGAGAAATTTGGGGACAAAACTGTTCGCCTTAGCCAGGCAGTGGTGGCGTATGCCTTTAATCCCAACACTTGGGAGGCAGAGGCAGGCGGATCTCTGTGAGTTCAAAGCCAGCCTGGTCTACAAAATGAGTTCCTGGACAGGATTCAAAGCTACACAGAGAAATCCTGTCTTGAAAAACTAAAAACAAAACAAACAAAAAACCCGTTCGCCTTGCTCCAACTATAGAAGGAGTGGGCCTGCGCCACAGATAACCAGAAGCCAAGCCTTCCTAACCTTAAGCGCTGGCCTTTGGCTTCCTTAATGTAGTGCAGCACCTTTAAGGCAAAGTACAAGTCAACAACCCTTTAAGGATAAATTATGTGCACTGAATTCCAAACTGAAACTGATAAGAATGCAGCAGATTCTTTTGACATATTTTAAAACAGGGCACGAGCTTGAATTTAAACGTCCCTTGGAGTCTATAACCGGCCACACAGCAGAGGAACCATTGCCTCCACCGCCTCAGAAGTGAATCCTAAACTGCAATCCCATCACTCAGAGGGTGGAGGCAGGGGAACAAGAGTTCAAGTTAGCATTAGCTACACGGTGCCTTTGAGGCCAGCCGTGGCTATGAAAAAACTTGTCCAAAAACAGTCTCAAAAAACATGACTGGAGGGAGCTGGAGAGATGGCTCAGCAGTTAAGAGCATTGCCTGCTCTTCCTGAGTTCAATTCCCAGCAACCACATGGTGGCTCACGACCATCTGAAATGAGATCTGATGCCCTCTTTTGGCCTGCAGGCAGACACACACACAGAATATTGTATACATAATAAATAAATAAAATATTAAAAAAAACATGACTGGAGAGCTAACTCAGCAGTCAAGTCAAATCTCAACAGATGTAAAAACAGAAATTGATTGGGGGAGGGCAAAAGATAAAAAGGCAACTCCCACACCCCAAATAATGCCCATGGATGGTAACATGTTCTCATTTAATGCCTTTTTAAGACCTTCCTCTCTGCCAGCACTGAAAAATCTCAGGATCTCATTTGCCCTCCAAGCTTGTTTTCAACTCTACAACTGTTCTTAATTCCCACATAAAGCCATAAAGCTTCCCTGTTTATCCAAAGCCTAATGCCCCCTCCAACAGCTTTGCCCAATATACCTTTTATCATGGTAAAATCGGATGGAAATACCTTTGTGACATTCCAAACTACGGGTTACCTGCATAGCTGAAAAGGCATGCAAACTTCTACCCTGTTCCTTTTCAACTTACTGTGTAACCAGGGTGCCCTGAACTTGAGATCCACTTACCTCTGCCTCCCAAGTGCTGAGATTGAAGGCATACTCACCATGCCCTGCTCTACCCTGTTCTTCAGAAGGAACTGGTAAGAACACACCAACCTCACTTTCCTGGCACCCTCTCCCATTTTCTTTTGTAATTCTTTGTTTTTATTTCATGTGTAAGGGTGTTTGCTTGCACATGTGCCTGTGCACTTATGTGCATGTCTGGTGCCTGCAGAGGTCAAAGCAGGGTGTCGGATCCCTTGGAACTGGAGTTACGACAGTTACTTGCTACTGTGTGGGTCATAGGAATCTAGCCTGGGTCCTCTGGAAGAACAGCTAGTGCTCTTAAACGCTGAGCCATCCCCCAACCAACCCTCTCCATTTTCACTTCCACAGTCACCTTTCTCTGAGGAACTCAATAAATGATCTCTAAAAGAACAACAGAGGTAATCTACATAAAGTATAAGTCATTTATTTTCCTTCTAATCCTTAGCTCAGTACATAGATGGCTTTTCTTCACCCTTTGGGTTGACAATTTTCTCGAGGTTGCTGCTGATGATATGATAAAGCTCAGCCTGGAGGAAGACCAGAACAACAGAGTTAGGTTCTTGGCTTCCCATCGCCTTCCATCCACTTCCCTCAGGAGCTTACTCCACACTCACATAGAAGGCCCTCAGGTCCAGCACCATGGCCCTGAGTACCCCGTAGGCTGCTTCATCTCGCTCATGCACCAAGGCCCGGTAATCCATCTGGGAAGTAGGAAACAAAACTGAGTCAGCGTCAGCGGAGATTGGGACATTAATTTTGTGTTCTCAAATAAAGAAAAGATTAACTGGAAGATAAGCTCCAACAAACACAGAATTAAATAAGGAAAAGGGTCAAGGATGTTGGAGCCCTAATCAGTTTTGCTTTCTGGAACAATATTTTCCACACTGTGCGAGTCAAAAACAAAACAAAGAGGATCTCTTCTCCCCACCTCAATTCCACCCCTGGCTAGCCTCAGCTAAAATGCTGGACTATGCACTCACTACATGGGTCTCCTTGGAGGCTTTGGCTACAGCGTCCCCACGTTCTGAGAAGTACCTGTGAGCAAGGAATGCATGTGTTAAAGGAGATGTACAGGCACACACACCCCACCCCTCAGTCTGCTATCATCCCGACAGATCTGCCTCGCTTTGAGAATCCTACGGCAATGTCTCTGTAGGTCCCTGTGGTCTTGTGGCTGTTCTCACTTGGAAATGGTTGTCTGGAAGGCTTCTACTTTGGTCTTGACAGCATTCACTCTCTCCAGAACCTTCTCCTACAGAGACATAAGAAGCAAAGAAAATCCTTCATCTCCCCCTTTACCATTCCCTCTCCTTTCGACTTCCTAGTTTATGCCTCGCTCCCGTCCCTCACCCACAAGTCTCTTCCCACTCTGTCTTCAGTCACCGATTCTTACCTGAACTGCCACCCCAAAATCATTCCCATCCTCAATCTTGGGGATCAGGTGCTGGATCCATGTGATTACCTGTGTTAAAAAGAGCACTCACTCAACAATCCGACTAGAATCTCATTATGCCACTTCTCAAAAAACTATTATTTTACTCTTTATGTGTATGGGTATTTTGGCTTCATGCCTAGCTACGTACCACATGCATTCCTGGGGCCCACATAAGGCCAAAACAAACAAACAAACAAACAAAAAACCCTGGAACTGGAGTTACAGATGGCTGTGAGCTGCCATGTGGGTGCTAGAAATCAAACTTGGGTCCTCTGGAAGAGCAACCAGTGCTCTTTTTCTTTCTTTCTGGTGTTTTCAAGACACAGTTTCTCTGTGTAGCTCTGGCTGTCCTGGAACTCGCTCTGCAGACCAGGCTGGCCCAGGACTCACTGAGATCACCTGCCTCTGCCTCCCGAGTGCTGGGATTAAAGATACATACCACCATGCCCAACTAGCAGTTCTCTTAACCTCTGAGCCATCTCTCCTTTCCATAGCAAGATGAACAATTCTTCTGTTTGATTGTTTGTTGAGACAGGGTTTCTCTACGTAGTCCTGGATGTCTTGGCGCTCCATATGTAGACCAGGCAGGCCTTGACTTCACAGGCTCCTTCCGCCTCTGCCTCCCTATCATGCCACTTCTTAATAACTTCTTAATAACAGTTAGCTATGTCTAACTGAGCACTTACTACGTGCTAGGTGTCAGATTATAAATTACTGATCTCATCTAATCACTGTCAATCTCCCAAAGCCTACAGTCTGACTGTACTATTTATTTATTTTAAAACTTGGTCTCGTTTCTTAGACTTATTTATTTATTTATGTAGATTAAGTGTATTTTGCATACACTTACATCTGCACATGAGATGACAGCATCCATCAGAAAGTTGTGAGCTGCCATGTGGGTGTTGGGAATTGAACTCAGGACCTTTGGAAGAGCAGTGAGTGCTCTTAACCACTGAGACATCTCTCCAGCCCTGACTGTACCATTTAACACAAGAAACAAGTGAGTCACAGAATGTCTAAGGGAGCTATATAAATGACAGAATCAGGATTTGAATCTAGATTCTTTCTAGGGTTCAAGTTTTTAAACCAACTCACTGTATCATATCACCTACATTGTGTACCTAATATCATAGGCTGAGATTACAGAGGTAGCTATAGCACAGGCTCTCATTTTTAGAGCTACCATTATGATACCACACAGGTGTCAAATGAGAAAAACAAAGGATATCTAAACCCAAAGGGAGAGGACAACAGGTAAGGTGCTTGCTGTGCGCACACGAATACATGAGGACTTGCATTCCAATTCTTAGCATACACATAGAAGCAGGGCAGAGTGGAGTACACTGTAACCCCAGGGTTGGAATTGGTGGTGGTAAAGTTGGCAGATCCTGGAGGCTCTCTGGTGACAGGACGGCTAAAACAGCAAGCTCCAAGTGCAGTGAAACCATGCCTCAAAAAAAAAACCCTCCAAATGTTGACCTTTGGCCTTCAAACATATACACAATTGAAAACACCTACACACACCTATGTGTGCACACACAATTCACACACACACACACAAACACACGTAAATCCAAGACACAAAAGCAAGTTTCCAGCCGGGCGGTGGTGGCGCACGCCTTTAATCCCAGCACTCGGGAGGCAGAGGCAGGCGAATCCCTGTGAGTTCGAGGCCAGCCTGGTCTACAAGAGCTAGTTCCAGGACAGGCACCAAAAACTACAGAGAAACCCTGTCTCGAAAAATCCAAAAAAAAAAAAAAAAAAAGCAAGTTTCCTTATTCAATACTAGGTCTCTAGATGAAAGCTCTGAATTGAACATAGCTTTTGCCTTGCTTTTCTTCCCAC